CGTCATATATATAGGTAATTGATTTCTTAAATTATGTATTAAGTGATTCCATTGGACTAACCAGCATAACCACAATATGAATAATTTGGTGACGTAATCTATAGGTTATTTAAAGTGAAATTATTAGTGATTAGTGAAATCCTTATAATTACCTATAGGTAATAATTATTCTATTTTTGTTTTTATTTTTATTCTAGAAATGAAATACTTTTTACAATTTATCTAATATTTTAATTAAATATAACAATATTTGATGAGTCAATAATAATTTTTTACCATCGTATTTTTATGAATTCTGTAAATTTTGAATTCTAGTAGATTCTCAGGAATTTCTCTTAACAACTATATCGATATTCTACACACTATACAGTGTTCTTATATTATATTATATTGTTATGATAAAATATGTACAATATAATTAACGAACTTTTGTAATTACACAAGTATTATAATCTCTTTGTATTAAAGTATTAAAGTAGGTAGAAATTTAATCAGTTAAGCGGTGGCTGTCCTAGCGATAGCACGTGTAGTTGTATCATCCTGTTCAACTGCGGCCATCTCTGATATCAACGTTTAATTTGTGTTGTTTTTTTTTTGCATTAAAGATGCAGTAAATGTGCGTACCTGGATCGGTGTCGATTTTGARTCGGTCCACCTTAAATTCTCCCCAAAAGGACAGTATTAAAATTGTTGTTATAACTTTWAAGTTTGTTTCTACGATTTCCTAAGGTAAAAGGTATAATTATATCATATGTTATTATGCTTAGTGAACTTCCAAAGGTTGGTTGGTGGCCGGCGGGTAACGCCGAAGGCGAGGCCGTTATCGCCAATACAGGTGGTACGGGGCAAGATTATTCCCCGGGTATACGTAGCGTGCGCGAGATACCTAACCTACGGGCAAGGTGTATACAGGCTGTCACAGTGCTTAGGGGTTTTTTTTTTTAATACCATGAGCAATAATAATCTCAGGCCTTTGGTAGACATAGATATCGACATGGAATCAGGTTCTGAGTCGTCCAACAGCAGGTTGAAGGGGCTTAGTGTGTGTAGCAGTTTGGAAACCACGCCGGAGCATGGCTCCAAGTGAAAGTGCACTCTCATCGCTCCCTGGCCGAAAACCGGCAGGAATCAGATCGGRACAAGTTTGGCCTGCATTAAATCCATTCTGAAGACAGCGATGCAGAAGGCAAGGACAGTAGATCGTAAAATAGCAAGTTCCAAACAATTTATTAAGTTGTTGGAAGATATTTATGACGTAATGGCGACTATGCTAACAAAGAGGGAAAAACTGAGCTCTCCCCTTTTCACTGTAGCCAAAAATCTGGAAGACAACGGAGTAGCGAACCCAGTGGCCAAACCGGTAATGGTTGACGAGGTCACGGATACCATATTAAAGCCTAGTTGGTGGGATAGTRAAAAARTTATCGAGGCCAAGAAACCTCACAGACGGATGACCACCAAGAAATCTGTGAAGACTGGAAATCAACCTACGCGTTACATACACTGATTTGGCGATGGAGACATGCCACGGAGGTCAATGTGCTCAGTAATGCGGAGGAGACGTTCAGGATATTCTACAAGATGGTGGAAGAGATCCTGACCCTTAAAAAAGAGGAGAAAAGGGCCAAGCAGGTGAAGGAAGCCTAATAGACGAGCCATGTAAGACGGCCGAAGTACCGCTGAAAACCTGGAACGTGATGGCATGAGTGACGGAGTCCGGTCGGCCCGCGAAGTCGGMTAATCTCAGAAAGTATATCAATATATTTTATCTATCCGTTTATTGTAATAGTCGCATTACTTAACGTATCTTATATTTTTATGTATATTTTATTTTATGTAATAAAAGATGGTGACGCTGTCGACGTTATGCGCAAGCAGTTCCGGCAGCTTTGTCGATAACACGAAAAAATATAGTAATTTAATATTAACCGAGTTCGCAGTTTTGTKGCCCGTCAAGATGAGGGTCGGTTATTTTATGCATTATTATACGCTCTGATCCCTGAAACGTCCGTTATGATATTATTCTACCGGGCCAGTCACTATTTTGTGGCTCTTGAAGTAATACTGCGGAAGCACTTCC